AGAGATAAATAAGTACAAATTGGTAGTTACAGAACAGTTACCAGGATGTAAAGTACAGCATAGACAATATAGCCCATAATATTGAAATAACTATATATGGTGTCAGATTGGTGTGGGATTTATTGGGATGATCACTTGGTAACTTGTATAATGTTTGATCACTGGGTTGTAATATAATAATGTATGTCAACTATAATTGAAAAATAAAAAATTATTTAAAGTAAAAAAAAAGTTAATAAATAAATAAATATTAAGTTATCTTAACTCTGGTTTGTGTTGAAAACCTAAGAATAGAAAAAGTCCACTTGTCTAAATCTGATATCTCTTTTTTGGGTTTCAGGAACCAATAAAATCACGTGCTCCACAGCTTCATTTAGAATACAGGTTTTATAAACAGCTTGGCAGTGCAGGTAAGTCAAGGCTGTTTTCTCTCTTTACTAAAATACAGATTACTGGAAGCCCTAAAATATGCACATTTTCTTAACTTTACTCTCATACCAGACACATATCTCCTCTGCTTGCTAGGCAAATAAATAAACATAGGTAGGTAAATAAACATAGTTAAAAAGCTACTTGCTCTTTGGCTCTTGGAGGAGCAATTGAATTGATTGGGGATCTGTGATGCTATTACTGTACCTGTAACCAACCTTTGAAAGCTTTCACCCACCTGAAATATACCTGGTATGGAGTTTTGCTTTTTGGCAGTTTACTTATTCTCTTCCCATCTCTTTATGTATACCAACAGAAAAGAAGAGTGGTTGCTAATTTACAAGCTATATTTTACCATATTGAGACTGTATGTCCATTTTAAAGACATACTATAAAATACATGTTCTGAAATACCATAACACTATCATTTTATTCATTTTTCTCATTAATTTGGAAGACCTATCTAAATCATTGTAATAACCTATGATCTTTGAGGATTTAAAAAATTTAAGATTATAATTTTTTAAACATGCCTAAAAGCTCTAATTTTTTTTAACCTAAAAGCTCTAATTTTTAAAATATCTTCCTGGTTTCCAGAAAAGTATCTTGACTTAGCAAATGTTACCAACCTTAAGGTGGTTGTACCTATAGGATACTTCTCACAGAAGATTAAATCCTTCAGTGCTGGGATTCAGCATTGCTTGATATTAGTAGACATTCCTTTGCTTTGTGCTTTCTTCAGTGTGACAGTTTTATGTGAATGACTGAATGGTTTCTATTTCAAGTATCACTGTTAAAGGTACTATTGAAGGAATTTGAGTTACACTTCCTTAGAATATAGAGAATTCTATAAGAGCCTCTTGGTGTTATTAAAGTTGTTTTATACTCTGACCATGCAATAATCAGCCATAGTCATAACCAAAGCAAACGAGGATAGGCATTTGTCTTTCATTGAACCTAACAAGCATTCTTGCTCACAGTAGCCTCTTAGTATATACTATTTGTTCATTGATGGTATCCTTAAATATGGAGTGTGCCTGGCATAGGATTTAAGATTGCCAACTGAGTGCATAGAACTAAACTTTAAAGTTGGCTGTAACTTTCACCATATTTATCACAACTCACTTATGATAAACATATTTGTACATTTTTCAAAAATTTAGGGGACAGGTGAAAACATGATAGATTCAGCCTAACTTAGAAGTTTGAGTGGGCCTAAGGAAAATGATGAGGCCAGTTTGCAGAGGAATGAACCAGATCAGGCCAATGTTCCCTTTTCAATATGGAGCCCCCAAATCTAATGAACTTGTTAATAGGGATGACATCTGTGCTGCCGGGTTCATACTATCCCCAAATACAAAAGAACATTGCAGTCTTAGCCGGTTTGGCTCAGGGAATAGAGCGTCAGCCTGCGAACCAAAGGGTTCCGGGTTCGATTCTGGTCAAGGGCACATACCTTGGTGGCAGGCTCCTCCCAGGCCCAGGCCCTGGTGGGGGTTGGTGCAGGAGGCAACCAATGTGTTTCTCTCTGTCTTTCCCTCTCTCTTCCACTCCCCCTAAAAATCAATGGAAAAAGATCCTCAAGTGAGGATTCAAAAAAA